CTGCTTAAAACCCACCTGTAGCTATTAACACTGTACTCTTGTGGGACTCCCATTGTATTGTGGGTAATCAACAGAAGACTATAAGGACCATGAAGGCAGAAAATACCTCTCAACAGTGCCTGGAAATTAGGTGCTTACACTGGTGTGTCCATCTACAACTAAAAAAAAATACAAATTAAAAAAAATATATTTTCTTCTTTGTCTTTGTATACATGCACTTCTCTGACAAACTGTACCCAGTACTAACACTAATTCCCCATTTCCCCATATTTCTGTTACAGGCATGTCATGTTGCCCAAGGACATAGCCAAACTGGTCCCTAAAACCCATTTGATGTCTGAATCTGAATGGAGGAATCTTGGAGTTCAGCAGAGTCAGGGATGGGTTCATTATATGATCCATGAACCAGGTCAGTGCAATGGCTAAAAACAACTGCATAGAAGAACTTCTGCAGTGAGAGAATGAAAGAATAAGATTGCATAACCCAAAGCAAATAGAGTAGAAGAGAATGATTTACTGAGTTCTTTCCCCTAACTATCTAAACAAACTTGAATGACCAAAAATAAGAGGAAGGGTAAAATATCTGAAAAGTTCAGAGATAACCTGCTACTGAAAAACATTTAATTTAGTTAGCAGGTACTTTTTAAATTATTTTTTAAGGCCACATATCCTAGTTTTGGTCCTTGCTTGGTTCACCATCAGAAAGCAAATTCTTGGATGTGTTCCAAATAAGCAGAGGAAATTATATTTCTTGATAAGACACCAGACACCCAACTGCCAGGCAAAACTAATAAAGGACACCCCAGGGCTGTATAAACACAGCAAAAACTGATATTAACGGTTCTCGTTTTGGCAGTCAGGCCAGACTTCTGGGTCTGCTTCTAAGACCATATGCTTACATCTTAATTTAGTTATAAAGATCTGAGTGGGTGATAGCTAGCCGGTGGTGGGATGCACTATAGGTTGTACATAGGATGGTGTGAGCTTTTCTCAGATTTCACTCACTGTTTCAGAACCTCACATCTTGCTGTTCCGTCGGCCACTACCCAAGAAGCCAAAGAAATGAAGCTGGCGAGCCACGTTGCAGCCTTGAACTTTACCCAGCTGTCCTTACTTTCTGACATCTTTCTGATAATGTGATTATGTTGCCTTCTTGTTTTCCACTTTGATATTTAAAGGATGTTCAATCCACTGTTTGAATGTGCTGGTGACTGCTTTGCTTGTGGAATAGAGCCACTGCTGTCCTGCCAGATGAGTGCTCTGTGGACCACAGCCTTAGCTGGGTGTGTCCCCAGAAGCCACAGTGTGCTCTGTATCCAGCAGAACACACTTGGCAGATGGAGGGAGCATCTAAGAATCAGACCACGGCTGTTACAGGGATTGTGTGAACTTGCCGTTTTATTTTTTTCCTGCTGGGTGTTGTATGTATGGTGACTTATGGATTTATGTTTCAATGTATTGGAAATTTTCCATTTTATTTGAGAAATCTGTTCCATGTTAAAAACCTTGATTAAAGAGGAAGTTTTTATAATCTAATTCTGTGATTGTAAGGCTTTTTTCCCCTACTCTTATGGTGACCATTATAAGTCAATATTGTGGTTATAATTATATACCCTTCAGTTTGATAATGAAACTCGGCTCTGCAATAATGAGGTTTATTTGAGCATTCGGGTAATCTACTTTAAGCAGACTTGCTGTCAAACATCTGCTAAAATATATTTCATTCTAACTACAAGACTGAGACAGGTAGAAGTTATATAGGGACAGCCCCATCTCATCAAAACAAATAAGCTGTTTCGTACAGTCAGGGGTGCTTCCTTTAACATGGTCCCAATATTTGAAGGGCACACGGGGTTAAGAGAAGAGGCTGTCAACCAGAGACTACTTTGTGCTTTCTTTCCTGCCTAAAACTGGCACACTTCTGACCTGTTCACTATGCCCATTGGTGGTTTTTTACTATTTCTTAAATTTGATTGAGCATAGAAATCATCTGGGTAACTGGTACCCACCTAAATTATCCTTAAGAGACTGAATTAATTGGTTTGGAGTGTGTATTAGGTGATGGATTTCAAACAAAATTTGAGAAAACAGATGTAAACTGGCCATTTAAGAGAACATCACCAAATAAAAACTCCACCCTCTAAAAGTAATAGTAGCATGTCTTCTATCCATTTAATCCTCAAATAGTTCTTCAAAGTGCCAGCTTTGGATAAGAGGTATCAACATGGGGCTGGGGTTGTAGCTAGCAAAATGGTAGAGTGCCTGCCTAGAATGTGTGAGGCATTGAGTTCAATTCTCAGTACCACTTGTAAATTAATAAAATAAAGGTCCATTGACAACTAAAAAATATTTTTAAAAATCCATCAACAACTAATAAGCAGGGCAAGGTGGAGCACACCTATAATCCCAGATGCTCCGGAGGCTGAGACAGGAGGATCGCGAGTTCAAAGCCAGCCTCAGCAAAAACAAGGCGCTAAGCAACTCAGTGAGTCCCTGTCTCTAAATAAAATACAGAATAGGGCAGGGGATGTGGCTCAGTGGTCAAGTGCCCTTGGGTTCAATCACTAATACCAAAGGGGGGGGGGGGGGGACTAATAAAATATATTTTTTAAAAAGGCATCAACATTATCTGAAAAGTTGTGAGAAATACAAATAATTGGGCTCCACCCTTGACCTATTGAATTCTAAGTTGAAAGTTGGGCCCAGCAATGTGTTAACAAATTCTCCTTGTGGTTCTAGTATTGTGCTTAAGCTTGGGAACTCACTACTAAATGATTGGAACAAGTTTTTTAATTAAGGGGGATGTTTGTTTTTTGATACCAAGTATTGAACCCAGGGGCACTCAACCACTGAGCCACATTCCCAGCCCTTTTTTATATTTTATTTTGAGACAAACTCTCACTGAGTTGCTTAGGGCTTCGCTAAGTTGCTGAGGCTGACTTTGAACTTGGGATCCTCTTGCCTCAGCCTCCAGAGCCTTTAGGATTATAGGCATGCGCCAATACACCTGGCCAGAGTTGATGTTTTGAGACGGAGTCTAATGTCAAACCTTCATTACAACAAAAATATTGGATTGGGCTGGAGATGTGGCTCACGCAGTAGCTTGCTTGCCTGGCATGCGAGCGGCCTGGGTTGGATCCTCAGCACCACATACAAATAAAGATGTTGTGTCTGCCGAAAACTAAAAAGAAAAATAAATAATAAAATTCTCTCTCTCTCAAAAAAAAAAAAAAAATTGGAGCATGTGACTTATGTCATTAGGCAAGTAAGTGGTGGTGTGTTTTTTTAAACTGGAAAAAAATAACAAACCACAGGGTTTATTACTATTATTATTATCTACGCATGTTTGGGTGGCTTCCCTTCACTTTTCTACTCCCGTAAACTGGGCTTGATATTTATCTTACACGATTTTATAGAGTAAAATGAGGCCAGGTGTAGTTCAGCAGTTCTCCAAATAAATGTTAACTTTTACTAAAAAAGCCCAGAAACCAAAATGTGGTCATCACATGGGAGCTGGAGAAACGCAAGTTTCTGGCCCACCCAAACCTGAATCATTATCTGCCAATTAAAACCATCCCCAGATGGTTCAAGTTATGAAGCACTTTTCTTTGCAACGGAAATGAGTAAGCCAGGCTGATGTAATTAAGACTCCAAAGTGAACACCTAAGGCATTCCCTCCCTATTTACTGTCTTTCCCTTCAGGACTGAAAACTGAGAGGTGACGTTTGAACTAAACATCCGGAACACCGTGGAGCAAGAGAGGCTTTTTACTTTTTCTTTTCAAAGAGATCTTAAGTAATTTTATCACTTATATTAAAGACAAATGAAGGTTCACACTAAAAGCTCCCCTACTCCTATCCCACAGGCAATGATAGACATCCTATCTCCCTCAGCTTTCTTCTGTTACAAAATAAAATCCCAGTTGAACTCAATAGCATGCCCCTGTAATTCCAGCTGCAGGGGAAGCTGAGGCAGGAGGATTGTTTGAGGTTCGATTACAACCTCAAAAATAAAAATTCCAGGCCAGGCGCAGTGGCGCAGGCCTGTAATCCCAACGTCTCAGGAGGCTGAGACAGGAGGATCACGAGTGTAAAGGCAGCCACAGCAACAGTGAGGCGCTAAGTTACTCAGTGAGAAGCTGTCTCTAAATATAAAATAGGGCTGGGGGGTGTGGCTCAGTGGTTGAGTGCCCCTGAGTTCAACCCCCGGTATCCCCACACACACACCCAAAAATAAAATAAAAATTCCGAGCCAGGCCGGGTGCTTTAGGCCTGTAATCCCAGTGATTCGAGAGGCTGAGGCAGGAGGATAGGAGTTCAAAGCCTACCTCAGCAACTTAGCGAGACCTTATCTCTAAGTAAAATATAAAAAGGGCTGGGGATATGGCTCAGTGGATAAGTCCCCCTGGGTTCAATGCCCGGTACCAAATACATTAATAATAAAAAATGCTGGACACCAGCCCCTGACCCCTTCCCCTAGAATCAGAGTCATGGTTATTGAAAACAGCATACAAGAGTCTGGGAGATCAGAAAGCCTCCGCTTACTCCAGCACGACACCCCAAAGTACTGAGAACACTACCAACTGCAACTTTCGCGCCCCGAACTCCTAAGTCCCGCCTACCCACGCCCGCCCTGGACCGAAGCCCGGCCCCCACGCTTCCGGCGAACGTGGTGGTTGCCAATAACAACGTGATATTGCTCGTGCCTGCTGGATAAAGCCTGAGAGCGACAGTCGGCTCTACCAATAGGACCATTGGGGAGCGTCTAAGCGACAGCCGGAGTAACCAATCCGTGCGGGGCAATGCGAGGCGGTACTTTGAGTGCGGAAGTTGACCCGGGACCTGAGGAAAGGAGCGAGGGAACGACCCGGTAAAGGTACAAAATAGGCAGGTGGGAGCCTGGAAGAGCTCAGCAGTCAGAAGCGCGGTGGAAAGAGGGGATCCCGGACTAGAAAGGGTGCAGGGGGCTGCGGGGGAAGGCGACAGGGTTCTGGTCGCGGGTGGAGGGAGGGAACGCATTTAAAGGAGCCAAGGCCCAGGATAAGGTAGAAATTTAAAGGGACAGAAGCCCCGAAGACAAGAGACATTTAAAGGTGCAGATGCCCAAGATAGAACAAACTCTTGAGACTACCAGTTCCGCACACCGAAGACATTTAAAGTGGTAGGTTCTCGGGAGAGAAGGACATTTTAAGGAGACTAGAGCCAAGCATCGAAGTCATTTATATGAGCATGGGTTGGGATTTTAGAACACGTTTATTGAAGAGGCAGTAATAAGAGTCGGTTATGAAGGGTCTGGTTAGAGAAGACTAAGTCATATTCTAAGAAGGAACTGTGCTCCTCCTCTCCTCCATTGTCCTTTCTGGCTCCTCCAGGTTCTCTCCATCCCGGACCTTGTTCCCAGGCTATGGCCCCCAGTGCCCTGTAGACCTGGCAGTCCCCCGGTGTTTGCGGCCCCTACTTGGGGGTCTGGGTGGCTACCGGAGGGCCTTCCAAAGGGAAAGAGAAGGCAGGACCATGGCATCTAGGGCCTCTGAACTTCCCCAGGGGCGCAGCGTGACGGCGGGCATCATCATTGTTGGAGATGAGATCCTCAAGGTGTGTCTGGGACAGAAGAAGGGGAGGGCGCGGCTTTCTCCTGACCTTAAGAGCTTGCTGCCCATCCTGTTGAGGGAGGTGAACCAGGGTGGGAGTCCCACAGTAGATTCCTGGAGTGAGTCCAACATATTGGACTCACTTTCTTTCAAATTACTCCACTAAAAAAAGTTGTAGCAATGTCCCCGTTTTTCCAAGTAGTATAGTAGGGGACATAGGGACTACCCAGCAGTGACAGGAAGCCTAGCAAGTAGAGGAGATAAAAAATGCACATATTATATATTTAAGAGTTATATCCAGGCTGGTGGCACAGGCCTATAAGCCCACAGGCTCAGGAGGCTGAGGCAGGAAGATCACAAGTTCAAAGCCAGCCTCAGCAACTTAGCAAGGCCCTAGGCAGCTTAGTGAGACCCAGTCTCAAAAAGTAAAAAGGGCTGGGGATGTGGCTCAGTAGTTAAGCACCCCTGGGTTCAATCCCTGGTACAAAAACAAATAAATAAAGTGTTATATCCAGCCTATTTGGAAATGATTCAAGGCACTCAGCAAAGTGGATAAATGAGATAGAAGGAAGAGGAATTCCTTCTGAATGATCAAGGGTATTACTAGAGGACATGGCGGGGCATTAGGTTTGTAATAGTAAACACTATTTTTTGAGTGCTTAGTAGAGGCTAGCAGTATGCTTATTACATCACAAATGTGATTTTACTAAGCCTCACAACAATTCCATGAAGTTAGTGCTTTTATTGTGAATCTCAGTTAATAAATAGATTACGCAACTGAGGCTTAGAGAGGTTGAGAAACTTGCCTGAGATTACACGCCTAGAAAGTGGTAGAAATGGAATTCTAGCATGACTCTTCCTTACTCCAGAACACACTCTTAACCTATATAGAGAGGTAGAAGGAGATGGGGCTGGAAAAGAGGATAGGATACACACCACAGACAGCCTTAAATACTTGCAAAAGAATTTGAACTTTATTCTGCATACAGTTGGAAACAACAAATGGCTCTTGAGCCCAAAAGTGATGCAATCACAGTGACGCATTAGGAAGGTTACTCAGAAGACACAGAGCAAAGCACCGTGGCTGGAGGCTGGGAGCTCGGCCAGGAGGCTGTTGCCATTGACCAGGTGAAAGGTGCCAAGGACCTGTTTGGTGACTGGGGACAGAGGAGAGCAGATGGGGAGACATTTCAGTACAGTTGACAGAATGAAGAGTCTGACTGGCTGTGGGCAGTGTCTGGGATGCCACTGACTGAAGTGACAATAGCCAGGGATACAGTGAGGCTTCCCAGTAAGCACTTGGAGTCAGGAGACTGAAACTGTCAGGACTGGTAAGGAGATGGACAAATCGCCCACATAGAATTGATAACTGAGTCCATAAATATACGTAAGGTCAAGATCAAAGAGCAGAGGGGGCCCAAGGTGAATCTCCTGACTACATTCCAGGGGATTTTCCCACCCAGCCCAGGCTCAACAGCCTGAAGGGGTGACCTCAAAGAGCAGAGTACCCATCATCAGACAGATGTAGCTATACTCCCCCTGCCTTTCATCCCCATGGTATTGACAGTCTCATCCTCCCCAACCCCCAGGGACACACTCAAGACACCAACACCTACTTTCTGTGCCGGACACTGCGCTCCCTGGGGGTCCAGGTGTGCCGAGTCTCTGTTGTGCCTGATGAAGTAGCCACCATTGCAGCCGAGGTCACCTCTTTCTCTAGCCGGTTTACCCATGTTCTCACTGCAGGGGGCATCGGCCCCACTCACGATGATGTGACCTTTGAGGCAGTTGCCCAGGCTTTCGGGGAGGAGCTGAAGCCACATCCTGAGCTGGAAGAGGCCATCAAAGCCCTAGGAGGGCAGGGCTGGGAGAAGCTGTCCCTGGTGCCCTCCTCTGCCCGCTTGCATTACGGCGTAGATCCTCGCACTGGCCGCCCCTTCCGATTCCCGCTGGTCTCTGTCCGGAACGTCTACCTCTTCCCAGGCATTCCGGAGCTGCTGCGGCGGGTGCTGGAGGGGCTAAAGGGACTGTTCCAGAACACAGCTGTTCATTTCCACTCCAAGGAGCTGTATGTGGCTGCTGCTGAAACCTCTATTGCCCCCATCCTTGCGGAGGCCCAGGCCCACTTTGGGCGGAAGCTTGGCCTGGGTTCCTACCCTGACTGGGGCAGCAACTACTATCAGGTGAAGCTGACTCTAGACTCTGAGGAAGAAGGACCACTGGAGGAATGCCTGGCCTACCTGACTGCCCGTCTGCCCCAGGGGTCGCTGGTCTCCTACATGCCCAACGCCGTGGAGCAAGCCAGTGAGGCTGTATACAAACTCGCTCAATCAGGTAGGGGCCTTCCTTGGGGAAGGGCAGCATGTACCGGCCTTTGGTGCCATCCAAGATTTAGAAACGCAGGACCTGTTGGGGGGGGGGGGGCTTCCCACAATTCTGAGAGAAGGTAGAAAATAGTCAGTATTGATTAATTCATTCTAAGAAATATTGATTGAGTGCCCATTCTCACTAGCACTGTGCTGGACAACATGGACAAATGTATGCTCTGCTCTTCTGGATCAGTGGTTTAACTAGAGGGGTGGATGTGAAGCAGGGGACCATATATGAGGTGTGAACGAAGAGGATTCCACATTTGGGAGATCAGCCTTGATCTAGGGTCAGAGACAGCTTTCCTGACCCAGTAACAAAAGAGCTGAGTGATAAGGAGCATTTGATTGGACCAGGGGGTAGGCCAAGAGCAAAGAGAATGGAAGTAGACCTGGAGGAGCAGCTTGGGGTTTAGGGGAATGGAAGTAAGGGCAGGTGGCTGAATGGCAGGCAGGGGACAGACTGCAAGGGCCAGGGGACAGCATGGAGTTTAGACTTAATCCTAAGAACATGGGAAGAGGTTAAAGGGTTTTAAGCAAGGGCAACATGCCCCATTCAACAGCTATATATTCCTGATGCCCACTTCCCTGCCTGCCTGGCAGGGTCTTCTCTGGGGAAAAAGGTAGCAGGTGCCCTACAGACCATTGAGACTGCCCTGGCTCGGTACCATCTCAACCAGCTCTGTGTGGGCTTCAACGGGGGCAAGGACTGCACCGCCCTCCTGCACCTCTTCCATGCAGCTGTGCAGAGGTGAGCCCACCTCAGGACACCTAATCCCTCTAGTTCCCCATCCCAGGAAGCAGAGAGGAGGCCAGGAAGGGAGGTAGCCCCAGTGACCTCTCTGTTCCATTCTCCCACCCTATGTATCAAGCATCTGGCGCATACCTGGCCCTGGATATAGATGTGCAGGCCACCATCCCCGAGCACAAGTGGGTCACAGTCCCATTGGGGAGGTGATATTTACCAGAAATATCAATCCATACATAGGGACGCTCAGGTTCAAGAAGTGAGCAATTGGAGTGGGCTTCCCATAGGAAGTGGGTCGGCTAGATTAAAAAAAATGAGGACAGGGGAGAAAGGGAGGGTGTCCATCCCATGCAACAAAGAGAGAGTGTGCTCTCCAGAGAGCCAAGTTCCCTGTCTATGCCAGCAACCTTATGAATCCTTCCCCTTCCCCAGGAAATTTCCTGATGTCCCCAAACCCCTCCAGATCCTGTATATCCGCAGCATCTCCCCTTTTCCTGAACTGGAACAGTTTCTACAGGACACTATCAAGAGGTACTAGAGGCCCGGAGGTTTGGGCTCCAAGAGGAGCTTGGCAGGTCCCACTCTGACCTCCACCTCTCTCTTCCTAAGGTATAATCTGCAGGTGTTGGAGGCTGAGGGTGACATGAAGCAGGCCCTGTGTGAGCTGCAGACACAGCACCCCCAGTTGGAGGCTGTCCTGATGGGCACTCGCCGGACTGATCCCTATTCCTGTAGCCTCTGCCCTTTCAGTCCCACCGACCCCGGCTGGCCTTCTTTCATGCGCATCAACCCACTGCTGGTAATGCCTTCTGTCTCCTGCGCCCTGTCAGTCATTGCACCCCAGCTCCCCTGGGGAAGGAGGCCGGAGCCTGAGTCATGGATGAAGGGGCCCCACCATCCAAGGGAGGCAGTGCTGTTCGTTCATCTCTTCAACAGATATTTATTGAGCATTGTACTTTTTACTGTGGACCAGTGACTTAGGCCTGTGCTCTCCAATATGACAGCCATTAGCTATTTATTCATACTTAGGTGATAACTGAAATTAAATACAAGTTACTAAAATACTTTCACAGGATGAAGAAGATGACATGTGAATTATAGCTCAAAGATATTCTTTGGTACTGGGAATTGAACCCAGGGGCATGCTGACCACTGAGCTACACCCCCAGGCCTTTTTATTTTTTATTTTGAAACAAATTCTCACAAAGTTGCCCAGTGTCCTCAAACCTGAGTCTCCCAAGCAGCTGGGATTATAGGCATGCCTTACTATGCCTGGCTTGCATCTCAGTTTTGAAAATTAAGAACAATTTAAAATTCATTTCTTCAATTATAGTAGCCATGTTTCGAGTCACTGCCATAAGACGCACAGATATGTCCGTCCTGGCAGACAGCCGAGCCTGGCAGCACCGACTGAGACACACAGTCCTTCCATGTTCGGGATGTGACACGTCAGTGAGAGTGGCTCGGGAATGGGGAGGGTAGAGGACGGAGGCCTCCTCTGTCTCGCTGCTTAGTCTGCACAGAGCAAGGTGCACCACAGAACCAGACAGCAAGCCTCCCTCCCTCAGAGCCAAGGGGCAGGGGAGCCTTGGATGGCCCCTTCCTGGATGGCAGGGGAGAGAATGTTTGTGACTATTCTATGACTCTGACCTCCCAGGACTGGACCTACAGAAACATCTGGGACTTTCTACGTCAGCTGTTTGTCCCATATTGTATCCTGTATGACCGAGGGTAAGTTTAGGGGAGCAGAATGGGTGTGGGGGATGTGAAGGTGTTGGGATAGGGGGAGCCCCCCCGGAGAGCCTACCGTCACTCACTGGCCTTCCATTTCTGCTCTCCAGGTACACGTCTCTGGGGAGTCGGGAGAACACAGTACAGAACCCAGCCCTGAAGTGCCTAGGCCCAGGAGGACACCCCACCTACCGTCCAGCCTACCTACTGGAGAATGAAGAAGAGGAGCGAAACTCCCGCATGTGACCTCCTGTGTGGAGGGGGGAGGGGAGTGCCTGTCAATAAACCAGCCTCTCACTGTGCTGTGGCTCTGGCTGTGTCTTTGTGCTCCGAGGGACAGAAGTGGCCAGACCTGCGAGCTTGAAGCTGGTCATGCCCACCCTGAGGAACCAGGGGTAGGATGGAACAGACGGAAGGGAGCACTCCTGGATGATTCTCAACGCCAGCCTCATCCAGAGCCCGCCAAGGTGGGAGGAGTTGTGCCGACCACGGAGAAAGGGGCAACCAGACAGGCCCACCCAAGCTGGAGGAAGGGACGCTGAGCTGGCCTGGCTGTGGAGATGGAGTGCCCAGGCCCTCCCCCACTAACCCCACCCCATCCCTGTCCAGAGGGGCTGACTCAGCCTTTTCCCAAGCCCAGAATGTTCCTTTGCTAGACCCTGGGGCCTTTGCGTCTAGTCATGAGGCCTGAAGGGGGTGGGGACAGTTGATAAAAGGCACCAAAGGCAGCTCCCACACCCTTCCTCAGAACCGCTGCCCACATGCAGCCCAGGACACAGCCCCTAACCCAGGCCTTACCCTTCTCCCTTGGAGGGGTCCTGCGAGACGCTGGGCTCCGTGTGCCTGTCATTAAGATGGGCACAGGGTGGGAGGGCCTGCAGCGAACCCTGAAGGAAGTGGCCTACATACTGCTCTGCTGCTGGTGTATCAAGGAGCTGCTGGACTGATGACGCCAGGGAGCGGCTTCCTCTACCGCTGACAGCATGGCTGGCACCGCTCAGGTGGGCAGGGGGTCGGACGGGGGTGTGGCTGCGGCCTGTGTAGCCCAGCCTGCCTCTCAGCTCCCCCATTCTCTTCTGTAGCCCCGTCAAGACTCCTGGGGCCAGCTGTGCCTGACCAAGGACAGGTGGGCCACAAACGACGACTGAAGAGTGAAGTGTGGATCCTGCTTTGAGCTGTGCCATCTGCCAGACTAGCCTCGTCTCTGGACCTCAGTCCCCAGCCTCTGCCTCTGTCGAACCTCTGGTGAGCGGGAGTCTGGCCTGCTGGCCGGCGCTCCAGTAAGACGACCGCAGGACCTGGCACACCTCTACGCCTGGCACAGTGAGCCCGCCAGCCCAGATGGGTGATCTCACCGTGCTCTTAGTACCAGGCATGGGCTGTGCCCTAAGATCTCTGTTTGAGAATCGCTGAACTATACGTATAATAAAAAGGCTTTGAGGCCAAAAGTTCCAAATGTCTAAGAGGGAAGCAGACAAAAGTCGGCACTGAAGGAGTCTTCGAGCCAGAGTGCAGCAGACCAAGGAGGGAAGGACGTTGTCCAGGACAGAAGTGACATTGAAATCCAGGTTTCCTGACTCACTCTTACCTGGGTGGGGAGAGTGGAGGGGAGAAAGGCCAGGATCCTCCCACCTATGTATAGCGAGGGGTCCAGCTTGGCGTGTTCTGTGAGGCCAGGGTATTAGAATGGCCACCCGAGGGTCTCAACCCTTCCCCAAGTAGAGGACCTGGTGTAGGGAGCTCCCTGCCTCTGAGGAGCTTAGGGAAAGCACTGTGCTATTCCCAGTTTGTGGAGGAAGTGGGCCCCATGAGCTACCAGAGCTCGGGGCTCACACACACACAACTACAAGAGAAAAGCCATCTGTGCAGCCACACCGGTTCCTCAGGCTTATCAGGGCATGACTCCTATCAGGACACCAACGGTTTGAGTAAGTAGAACTGACTCCTCGCTTCCCCTTGGAAGCCAATAACAGGATTTCCCAAAAGACTCCCAGTGGTAGGTACACGTGCACATCGTCTTGCTCACGCTTACTCACACGCCCCCCCACAGCCTCCCACAACCGCAAAGCCAGCAACAGGACTTGTTCAGTGTCCTGCTGGGATCGCCATTCAGAGAGTTCCTGACCTCCTTGGGCCCAGGTATTGCTCATCCCCCTTTCTCATCTGGGACACTGGCCTGATCCGGTATATGGGGCCCTCTTGCTCCCTCTCTGGGATCAGCTCTTCTTCAACCTTCTTAGTTAACTCCTTTCTCTCTGGGTTTTTTCCTCTTTGTAAAGGTAGTATATGCCTAAAGTAAATAATTCTCTTTTCTTTTTTGCAGTTCTGGGGAGTGAAGTGAACCCACAGGCGTTCTTTACTCCTAGTCTTTTTTTTTTTTTTCAGTTGTAGATAGACACAATACCTTTATTTTATTTATTTATTTTTATGGGATGCTGAGGATCGAACCCAGTGCCACACAGATGCGAGCCAAGCACTCTGCCACTTAGCTACAACCGCAGCCTTCTCCCCAGTCATTTTTAACTTTTGAGATAGGGTCTTGCAAAGTTGCTGAGGATGGCCTTGAACTTGCAGTTCTCCTGCCTCAGCTTCCTCGATCACTGGGATTACAGGTCTGTCCCACCACACACCACTTAAAGAACTCTAGAAGTAAAAATTAAGTCTCCTACACCTATCCCCCAGCCTCCCTTGAAGATAACCACAATAACCAACTTCTTGAAGAACATTCCAGAGATAGTTATGCAGGTCTGAATCTTCATTCATTCATTCAACAAATATAATTGACTGTCTGCTATATGTAAGTCTGGGTGTTTTGGATACAGCAATAAACAAAGCAGATCCCTGTACTTGTGAAGTTTACATTCCAGTGGGTGACAACAGAAGATAAACTATAGACTTTTTAAAGTATGTTGATATAATTGGGATAGATACTATGGAAAAAAAAAAAAAAAAGTTGGGCCAGAGATGAGTGTGGGTGGGTGAAGGACAGCCCAAATAAGAACTATTTTAGTTTATTTTTATTTTTGGTACCTGAGATTGAACCCAGGGACACTTAAAAACTGAGCAACATACCAGCCTTTTTGTTTTTTTATTTTGAGATAGTGTCTCACTAAATGGCTTAGGTCATTGTTAAGTTGCTGATACTGGTCTTGAACTTACAATCCTACTGCCTCAGCCTCCCAAGCTGCTGGGATTATAGGCAAGTGCCACTGCACTGGGTAAGATATGTAGTGGTAGTGCATGCCTGTAACCACAGCTAACAAAGAGGCTGAGGCAAAAGGATCACAAGTTTGAGGCCAGACCCTGTCTCAAAATAGAAAAAAAATTGGTTCTAGAAATTGAACCTAGAGATACTTTACCACTAAACTACATCTGCAGTCCTTTTTATTTTTTGACAGGATCTCACTAAATTGTTAAGAGCCTCACTAAATTGCTGAGGCTGACCTTGAACTTTCGATCCTCCTGCCTCAGTCTCCCCAGTGGTTGATACCACAGGTATATACCATGGAACCCAACTAAAAATTAAAAAAAAAAATTAAAGGGCTGGGGGTATAGCTTAGTGGTAGCGCACCCCTGGGTTCAAACCCCAGTACTGGAAAAAAAAAAAAAAAACTTGAGCTTTTCTATATATATATATATATATATATATATATATATATATACACACACACACACACAATCTTTATTTTTATGTGGTGCTGAGGATCAAACCCAGTGCCTCACACATGCCAGGCAAGCGCTCACTCAACCACTGAGCTACAACCCCAGCCCCAAACTTGAGCTTTTATGCTGAGTGAATGAGGAACTTGCCTGGTATCAAACATGAACTAAGTTTTTACTTGAAAAGTTCATACTGGCTGCTACGCTGAGAATAGACTTTAGAAAATAAGGGTAGACTGTTCAAGACCTTTAGGAGGTAAGAAGCCCAGTACAGACGGACACCTTGGCAGGCCAGGTCAGACTAGAGCAATAGCGTGCTGAGAGTGGCTAGATTCCAAATATGCCTATTCTTTTTTTTTGTACCAGGGATTGAACCCAGGAGCCCTACCTCTGAGCCACATCCCCAGGCCTTTCTTATATTTTATTTGGAGACAAGGTCTTGCCGAGTTGCTTAGGGCCTCAATAAGCTGCTGAGGATGGCTTTGGACTTGTGATCCTCCAGCCTCCCAAGCTGCTGGGATGACAAGTTACAGGTGTGCAGCACGGCCCCCAGCAAAATGTTGACTCCTCACAGTCCTCTGCACCCTGCTCTCTGTCTCTTGGTTTTTTGTTGTTGTTATTTGTCTGTTTTCAGTCCTGGGGGTTGAACCTAGGGCCTCGTGCACACCGAGCACCCCACCGCCAAGCAACATCCCCACCCTGTACCTTGATTTCTCTTCCTTCGTGCACTTTGTGTAGGATCCAAACACCACTGCAGTATATTTAGAGCTTGCCTGTCTTTGTTTATGGCAGTCTAGTACTTGACCTCAAGACTTGTTTCTTATCCCTCACAGCCCAGTACTCCCATTTATTTATATACTTACATATATATATATATATATATATATATATATATATAT